TTCATTGTTCTTTCAATCTTTATGGACTTTCGTAATATTGGGATTATGTCTTCTTTTTCTTGCCACCCAGTTTTTCAAAAATTGCAGTGAGAATATAAGTTGATTTTTCATTTGTTTGTCATTGTTTTAAAAGGTTTCCTCATGTGATTGATTTTCTTTTTTTGTAAAGTAATATCTTAGCCTATTTGACTAAAAAGCCTAATAGAAAAGCATTTTAAAAATAAATTCTTATGTTTTTACAGCCTGGGTGTTAATTTTTAATAGAATGAGAAGGGAAATTCTTCAATGTTTATTTTGCTAATAATGCTGTTATCTTGAGTTACTTAAGTGCCTGGTTTAGATGTAATGACATTTATTAGGACTTTTGGTTTTGACATAAAATGATGTTTGATGGTATTTTTTTTTCTGGACATTTCGTGGTGACTGAGTGATATTTAATCCGATTTTCAGTGCTATTGCAGTTACAGATCTAGATGTTTTTTGATGGCATGAGTGGGGCATTTAGTACTTTTAGTTTTGAGAGTAGCTCCAGAAGAGTAACAACTTTTTAAAATATGGGTTTATTTACTGCTCAGACTTTTGAAGAGAGTGAGCAAATTCTGTGGCCTTCCGTGGAGGGCTGTTTAACAGATTGCCATACTGAAGTTTTATTCTGTCTTCGTTGATTCTATTCTGTAATTATTTATGTGTAGCTGTGAATTTAGGAACCCCTTTTTCCCTATCCCCTTTCATTTCTGTGATCCTTTTTTTTTTTTCCTTCTAAAATGACAGGAAGTGACTAAGTTTAATAGAGATCCATGAACATCATCAGTGGTTCATGCAGCTAAAATGAAAATCCACATTTATTGATATATATTCTTTGATGAGGTAGGAAGTAAGAGTGGTTACTAAATTTAGAATAAAGGAGTACCTTCTGTAGAGTACAAGATTCTTTTTTAAAAAAATTACTGTTGCCCAGAATTCATAAGCTGCATTAGTATGCAAAGATTCCAGGCTTTGCTAAGGTAGCCAGAGCAACCTTAATGACTTGGAGTTAATGACTTTGAATTAGGCAGGACTTTGGGAATTGGGTTTCTTACCTGTATATAAAAAAAGTAATATGACCCAGTCCAAAGGAAAGCTTACTTGAAATAGTAGACGTGATCAAGAATACATCTGGACTGAAAGAATCTCTTAGTTTTAATAAGATAAGAAGTTCATGCCTGTATTTCTGTAAAATGATAGCTTCAGTCAAAATCTTAAAATATAATGAAACATGTAAAAAGTAAAAAAGAGGATATAAAGCATATCTTTTAGAAGGATATAGCATCTTGACATATTTTAAAGTATCATTCTGGAATATGTAGAAATCTGTTTATATAAATAATGACTCATGTAAAGTTATTTGAGTCTGAAAATTATTAGCTTAGAAAGCTAACAAGTGATCTTGTATATGCTTCTTTGAAAGAATAGGAGTTCATCTTTCTGCTAAACTATGTAGTGGCAGATGATAGAATAATACAGACTTTATTAAGTACATTATTACAAATATAAAATATATTTTGGTTAAATTTTAAGAAGTATCTTTAAATTGGTGAGCAAGGGCCTATTTTAAAATCTTACTGTGTGTTACAGTATATATCATACTTTAGATGAGTTTATGTCTAGGAATGTTGTGAACGGTCTGATATTTTTAACACGGAAAATAGGCTTAAGAATTCTTGTTGCAGTTTAACTTTTACGGAGTAAATAAAACCTTGACATATCATCTATTATATAGAGAACAAAGTGGTTTCCAAATGGTAGAGACAGTTGGAAGGCTGAGTGAAAAAGGTGAAGGGATTAAAAACTACAGATTGGTAGTTTCAAATTGGTCACAGGGATGTAAAGTACAGCGTAGGGAATATACTCAGTAATACTGCAAGAACTATATATGGTGCCAGGTGGGATCACTTTGTAAATTATATAAATGTCTAACCACTATGCTGTATACCTGAAACTAATATAAAGTAATATTGTCAACTGTAATTGAAAAATAAATAAGTAAAAAATACAGTATCTGCAAAGCACTATAAAGTGAAGCACAATAAAAGGAGATATGCCTCTATTCATATTTTAAAAAATCTATTATTTAGGCTTGCTTGTTAATTAGGTAATGTTATAGCTGGAAGATTCTCCTACTTCCTTGATGATGTTAATGTAGCACCATTTAAATCACTGAAAGTTTATTTTAAAGTATTTCATTCTTGTTTCTTCTTTAGTAAATCAGTACAGTTTATCTAAAATGTTCACCAGGAAGTTAATATGAATTTGTAATTATTTTAAATGTACCGAAAAGTACATCTTTATTCTGAAACTCATAAGGTACAAATTAGAGCGGCACCTTTGGCAGCAGTGAGATTAATGAAACTCATTGATTTGCTGAAGACAAAGCTGGATGCATTGTTCTCCCCACACGTCCAAGGTAGTCAGCAGTTTTTGCCATTCGTATATCCTTTGGCCAGCTTTTAAAAAGAATGATCCTCCTATTATTTATTTATTAACTGTTTATGTGATTTATTGCCAAAAGAAGTACAATATATTAAATCTGAATAGAGAATGCCTGGAGTTTTCTGAGATGCTTTTTAAAAATAAAATAAAGATTAAAGAAGAATAAAGATTTTGAACTAATCTAGGAACTGGAAGATATATCAGTTCTTATTTCAGTTATGTCACTGGGAAAACTGCTTAAATATCTTAGGACTTAAGTTTCCTTCTCTGTGAAAGGAAGAGGTTGATTAGATGAAGCATCAGGATTTTAAAGTGGCAGTTAGAGGGGCAAAGCAGATACAGTTTATGTGGTTATGTCCAGCATAAGCATTTAATTTTTGTGTTTTTAAGTATAATGTGCATTTTCTCCACAACTTTCTACCAGTTAACACCACGTTCCTCACATGTTTATGTAATCCACTGGCCTTCATAGGCATTCAAGTTGCAACCCTTGGACTAGATGTCACTCCTGGCTTTCAAAAAATTGATAGTTTCTATGCTATGACTGCAATTCTAACAGAACACTTTGTCACCATTCAAGCATGTTATAGACCTGGAAACTGTTCCTTAGTTTGTGTGTGGGGAGGGGGAGGAGTGGTACAAAACACTGTATTTTCCTTCTTCTTTAGTTGTTATTATGTGACAGAAAGTTAGCACATTGTTACTTGGACTAGGAGAATATCCGAGGGAATGTATTCTTCATTCAGCTCAGTAATTGTTATTAGAGCATGGATTTTTCTGCTTTACTTTACAATAGCTATAACAATAGCTATAAACCTGAAAGTTTTATGACTTGAGGTGTATTTATACTATAAAAGCACTAGCATCTTCCTGCGGAAGTGCCATGCTACCTTCTTGATGTCTGCCATCTCATTTCTCTTGATGCCATGTTTATCTCATTCTGGTATCTTGTAAGGCTTAGCTCTGTTGATTAGCTAACATCAACACGTTGCCAGGATCAATAGATACCATTTTAATATGTTTTTTTTGGCAGTAAATAAACTCATAAAATGGATAATCAGCCAGTATAGACAAAGCCTATTTTTTTATTTCTGTAATTGACATTAGCCATTCACTTGTTACAGTAGATTTCATAGGAGTATTCAGTGTTAAGTCCTTGGATTTACAGGCTGTCGTAATCATTTATCTAAAGATTCTGGCCTGAATGCTCTGCAAATATCATTAGGAAAGGAGATTTAGGAAGAGGACTACTTGCTTAAGAGATAAAAAGTAAAAGTAATAGTTTACGTGTAAAATAATGAGTTTGAGATAAGTCACTGATTTAGTTAGACTGCTGATGTTTTGGTGGGGGTTGGTGTTTCACATGGAAACATATATGATGTAGCCAGCAGGCACACTGGTAGTGTTTTTGGTATGATACTTTGACCTAGGCAAAAATTTTATTTTGAAACTAATTTTCAATAACACAGTAAGGTTAATGTTTTAATACTAGTTTCATTAGATAGTTTTTTACTCACTGAGTATTAATTATAGTATTTATAAATATAATTTATTACATTCAGAAAGCAAACAAATTTTGCAAAAGCACGATATTTACAATTAATTAGTAAGAAGAGTAGGATTTAGAAATTCAATGTAGCAATCTTGGCTGAATATGATTTTTATATTAAAAACACTGGGGAAAGAGATAGGAGAGCACAAGCAAAACTAACAAATTAAGAATCACGTGATAGGGAATTATAGGTAGCCCAAGATCGAGTGTTGAATTTGAATATGCATTGATAGTCCCGAGTTAAGAAAACATTTAGTCTCAACACAGCTCTGTTTTTGAAGAGATGGAACATTGAGTTGTTAAAATCTTCTGACTTTTATAAGTTAAGTAGCATTTTCAAACATTTCAATTGAAGTAGCTCTAAAGCATTGGAAATATTCAGTAAGTTATCTCTAGAATGGTGACATCAGTGTGTACCTGTCAAATCCCAGACTTGTCTTAGTCTCTGTGCACTGTTTATTTTAACAACTACTGTGGAGTCTCTGTTGTGTGGCCAGCTGAGCTAGGTGCTAAACCGATTTCCTTAATGTCAGATCACTTACAGTCTAACAGGAGAGTAGACATGTCTGAAAATGAGCAGTGGGAATGATGAGCACTCATGTTCAGATCGTTGTGGGCTGAACTGAATGAGGGACTTTTTATTCACCTTCCTTTTGATAATTGCTATAAATAACGTTAGATTTTTATTTTTTGTGTATGAAATAGTGTATTGATTTAGGTGTTTCAGAAAGAAAACTAACATTTGTTAGTGTTCAGTACTACTTCATTGCTCAGTCCTCTGAAGGAGAGATTGCTTATATTTTCTTTATATGAAAGCCAGTTTTATTACATTTTGTTTTGGCATAAGTAAAACTTCGATTTCTGTTTTGAAACAAAATCACGAAGAAAACCCACTTAGGTAAATTGTTTAATTTCAATGAGAAAGAAATAATGTTCAGTTGGTATTTATTTTGCTTTTATCCTTTTTTTTTTCTGTCAGGGGTGAAAGCATGTCTACAAAGAAAAGAATATGAACAGGAAGAAAAATATGAAATTCCTGAAGGACCACAGAGAAGCAGGCTCAACAGAGAACAGCTGGTATTTTTCTTTTGCTACTACTTTCATTGTTCTTATTATAACTGAATATTATTATCACCATCAGGAAAAACTTTTCCTGCCCTTTCAACAAGTACAGGTGACTGATTAAAATTTTAATTGTACTTATTTCAAGCACTTGATTCTGAGAGATGGTCACGGTGAGCAGTAAAATCCAGAAGGTAATAATTTCATACCGTTAATGGGTTTTTGGCATCTTAAACATTCCCATAAACCTTTCAGAACCTGAGGTAAGTCACAGACACAGGAAGTAACTTGAAAGAAAACCTACAGGTGCTGCTCAGATTTAGTTACATAAGTCTTTATTGCTGTGTCCTGCAGTTTTAATGGATGATATTCCATTATCCTATTGCTATATAGGTAAGTATATTAGAAATGATGAAGAAAAATGTTCAGAGAAGGGCATTGTGAAACTATTTTTCTTTTTTTTTTTTTCTAAAGCACACAGAAGTACGCTTTATAAAAAGTACGTTTCATAGCTAATGGATCCCTAGCCATGGCTTTATAATCTTTTGTGCCCCAGGGAATACATCCCTGGAACCCTGTGGGCCACACCCCGGAGCACTGTGGCTGCCCTGGAAACCTTAGGTTGGTAATATAGGGACCTAAATATGGATGGGAAGAATTGGATAAAACTCCATAGATAAGATGTTATTCTTACAATTAAGTTTAGCCCAGTATCACTGATGCGTATTTCATATACCTATGGAATTTTTGGGTCATTAAGTTCCACAAAATATGAATAAACTCTCTGATAAAGGAAGCTTAATGAACAGTTTTTGTTTGCATTTTTGGTTTTTTTACAAAATTTACCTGAAATCTGAGGAGAGTAAAAATTATCTGAGATGGTGACTGATCTTAGGGGAAAAAATTGTAAATAGGAAACCTATAAATGCATGATTATTTTCATGACCCAGAGAGTTTACTTGAAATACAGCTTGTCCCAGCACCTCCTTGAGTAACTGCTTAACTGCTCGTGACTATTAGTTTTTATTCTCATTTATTTAGAGCGTTTTAAAATATTTTGTTTTGCTTTTAACAAGTTTTTTTGTTTTTGTTTTTGCTTATTTCAGTTGCCAAAGCTGTTTGATGGATGCTACTTCTATTTTGGGGGAGCCTTCAAACACCATCCAAAGGACAACCTTATTAAGCTCGTCACCGCAGCTGGGGGCCAGATCCTCAGTAGAAAGCCCAAGCCAGACAGTGACGTGACTCAAACCATTAATACAGTCGCGTACCATGCCAAGCCAGATTCTGACCAGCGCTTCTGTACACAGTATATCATCTATGAGGACTTGTCTAATCATCGCCCAGAGAGGGTTCGGCAGGGCAAAGTCTGGATGGCTCCTTCTAGCTGGTTTATAGATTGTGTGATGTCCTTTGAGTTGCTTCCTCTTGACAGCTGAATACTATACCAGATGAACATTTAAGATTGAACTTAGACATTAGACAGTGTGAGAACCCAGCCATTGAGCTGTTGATCATTCACATTTTTATAAATAGGTAAACTCATTCACATTTTTTTCCTTGAATTAAAAAAATCTTATGCCAGATTAGGAGTTTATTGTGCGTTTACCATTTAGATGTTGAGACTGTTTTGAAGGATTTTCTTTTTAAGACTGGCATACATTTTGATTCATCATGTCTTTCTACTTAAATTTATCAGTTTATCAAAGATTAATGAGAGGGTCTCAGAACTGTTAATTAATATACAAGTGCTATCATTACTGTCTCATCCTTTCACTGTTCTTTAATGAAAACGCCACACCTGCCACCAACAGAAATAGTTGTCCTCTTTTAGTAAACAAAGTATATTGTCAAATAATTTATTCTGGCTTTATCTTAATGAAAATAGAGTACCTGGTCTACATGTGTCACCATAGGTGTTAAATTTTTCTCCCATCTACAGTCGTTTTCATCTTTCATTGCGTTTATTTAGTTTCTTATAATTAACTTGGCTGTCTGTACCTACATTTTTATCCCTTATTTTTATCTTGTCTGTTCATTAGAGAATCATGATTTGAACCCTAACATTATTGTTCTTTGCTGGTGAAAATCAACATTGGGCTTATTCAACATATTTTAATTGTATACACTTGCTTATTGTTAACTGTCAATTTGCTTGTTACTGTACAATTTATTGTTACTGTATTTATCTACAAATATGTATACATAATTCGAGCATTTTCTCTAACACATTTTAGTGTCACTATTTCTTAGAAGGTCTCACCAGACTAGCAAATTGTCAATTAAATGTTAATAAATTAAATTAGGAAGCAGTCTTTTTCTGGTAGACTTTGCTACGTGTTGCTAAAATAATTTTTTAGGATCTTAATTTCTTCCTTCATAAAGGTTGTTTTTTTTTTTTGTTTTTTTTTTT